TATTTTTGAGACAGAGTACGACTGGGGGAGGTGTAGAGAGAGAGGGAGACCCAGAATCTGAAACAGGCTCCAGGCTGTAGGCTCTGAGCTGCCAGCATAGAACCTGATGCGGGGCTTGAACCCACGAACCGTGAGATCATGACCTGAGCCGAAGTCAGACGCTTAACTGACTGAGCCCCCCAGGCGCCCGTAAAGTTTATTTTGAGAGAGAGCATGCATGCACGAGCTGGGGAGGGGTAGGGAGAGAGGGAGAGAGAATCCCAAGCAGGCTGTTAGCACACAGCCCAATTCAGGGCTCGATCTCGTGAACTTCGAGATCATGATATGAGCTGAAATCGAATGCTAGTCTGACTGAGCCATCAGGTGCCCCTCCCCATCTCTTAAAAATGGTTCTCTGTCCTGGTGATAGAAGGAATTATAGTTGTTTCTTATTTAACTTCTGTACGTTTCTGAATTTTGCCATCATGTTTTACTGTTAAAATAGTAATTATAGCTAATACTTGTTTAGTGCTCATGTCTGCCAGCTCCTGTTGTAAGATGCATGTATTTTCACTGTTGAAGATGTAAAGATGTGAAAGAGAAGAGCTTGGTGTTTTGTTTATTGTTTTTTTTTTAATTTGTTCCCCACCTCCACCAATTAAAAAATTTTTTTATATTTATTTATTTTTGAGAGAAGAAAGACAGAGGGGAGGGGCAGAGAGAGAGGGAGACACAGAATCAGAAGCAGGCTCTAGGCTCTGAGCTGTCAGCACAGTGCCTGACGTGGGGCTTGAACCCACAAACTGCGAGATCATGACCTGAGCTGAAGTTGGATGCTTAACCAACTGAGCCACCCAGGCACCTTGAGCTTGGTGTTTTAAGTGCTAATTTTTAGTGTGATTTGGAGGTAGCAGGCTATTCATCACTTGTGTTTTTGTGAAACACAGTGACTGAATGTGTACCAACTCAGCCACCCAGGTGCCCCCATCTGACATGATTTTAGTACTAAGTGCCTTAAATAGCAAGAAAGAGAAATAATATTCCAATTCTGATACTTAATAACTGTGCAGGTATACTAAATCACTTTAAAAATCTCTACTTTCTGGGGTGCCTGGGTGGCTCAGTCAGTTAAGCATCCAACTTTGGCTCAGGTCATGATCTCACAGCTCGTTCGAGCCCCGCCCGCGTCGGGCTCTGTGCTGACAGTTCAGAGCCTGGAGCCTGCTTCAGATTCTGTGTCTCCCTCTCTCTCTGCCCCTCTCCCACTCCCTCCCTCTCTCTCTCTCTCAAAAATGAATAAATTAAAAAATAAAAAATAAAAACCTCTACTTTCTGTAAAATGGAGATTATGTTAAATGCCTCATTGGGTTGTCTGTGAGTGTCAAATTATAACATGCTTAGTATTTTCCCTTACATATAGAAAGCATTCGAGTGTTAGCTGTTGTTATTACAAGGAATAGTCCCTTTCCTTTTATTATTTCATTTATTCCTCAGAATCCCACTGTTAAATGGGCCCAAATATCCACTTTATCCTCACAATTGTAGCAATTTAAAAAATGGCAACAAAGGAACATTTTTTTGAGTATGGAGTGCCCTTACATAGTGATTAAATCATACTCTTTGAGAAATAGAAAATCTCTGTGTGTCAGACAACATAGCTTTAAACATATAGACCCAAGTATCAACAGGATTATAAGGAAAGATTTACCAATCTGTAATCCTGTTGGGAGACTTTAACATACTGCTGTCAGAAATTGATAGAACTGGCAGACATAAATTGAGAAGGGTATAGTGAGCAAAGACTCATAAATATGAAGTTTGTCTGTTTTTGTTCAAAGCCATATAGCCAGTGAAGGGAAAAGGTAGTTGAAACAAGTCTGTTTTAATACAAATCACTTAAGCTCTCCAAAATTCCATCTACCTAAAATATATATATATTTTTTAATGTTTTTTTATTTATTTCTGAGAGAGACAGAGACAGCGTGAGCAGGGGAGGGTCAGAGAGAGAGGGAGATACAGAATCTGAAACAGGCTCCAGGCTCTGAGCTGTCAGCACAGAGCCCGACGTGGGGCTCGAACCCACAAACCGCGAGATTATGACCTGATCCAAAGTCGGATGCTTAACCGACTGAGACACCCAGGTGCCCCCCATCTACCTAAAATAGAGTTGTACTTCATGGCACCTGTTAATGTGATTTATACAGTAGTGTCCACAGTGATCAATGAATGGATCTCAGAATTACTTCATTTCTGATATTTCTGTATCTGTTTGCAGAGTCACAGACTCTGCTGTTCGTTTGTACTATATTTTGTTCCTAATACTAGATAACTCTATTTCAGTTCTTCAGAACACAGATAATCAGCGCACCTGTGTGGCTTAGTTGGTTAAATGTCTCTCTCTTTTTTTTTTTTTTAAGTTTTTTAATGTTTGTTTATTTATTTTGAGAGAGAGAGACAGTGTGAGAGGGGGAGTGTCAGAGAGGGAAGGAGACACAGAATCTGAAGCAGGCTCTTAGCTCTGAGCTGTCAGCAGAGAGCCCTACATGGGGCTTGAACTCATGGACTGTGAGATTGTGACCTGAGCCAAAGTCGGATGCTCAACCAACTGAGCCACCAAGTTTCTACCGTCCCATATTTTTTTTTAATTTCTTTTTTTAATTTGTTTTTTAATTTTTATAGTTTATTTATCTTTGAGACAGAGAGAGACAGAGCATGAGCAAGGGAGGGGCAGAGAGAGAGAGGGAGACACAGAATCTGAAGCAGGCTCCAGGCTCTGAGCTAGCTGTCAGCACAGAGCCCGACGTGGGGCTCGAACCCACAAACAGTGAAATCATGACCTGAGCGAAGTCGGACGCTTAACCGACTGAGCCACCCAGGCGCCCTTTTAAATTTCTTTTTAATGTTAAGCGCCCAACTCTTGATCTCAGCTTAGGTCTTGATCTCAGGGTTGTGAGTTCAAGCTCGTGTTGGGCTCCACGATGGACGTAAAGCCTACTTGAGAAGAAAAACATAGAATCATGAATTTCTGGTTCCTAGCAAGAGAAGAAAAGATTTTAGGTGCAGTGTGAATATACCAGTAAAGTGCTTTTGTTCCTAAGTCCGCAGATCCTGGTTGCCCACAGTGAGCCTGCTTATGTGACGTAAGAGAGGAGCTCCTGGAGCCAGGAACCTGTCAGTGTGAGAGACCCGGCCACCACCGGACAGTGAGCGTCTGGGACAGAAGCAGAAGAGGCGCAGGGTGGAGCAGGTCTCAGATGTGCAACTCCTCTGGCCTGGGCAACAGAAAATAACCATGTTACAGGTGAGCTGATTGTGGCTTCTTTCTTATTTTCCAGGGGATTAGAAGAGGCATGTAAGTCTTCCAGTGAAAAAGAAAAATATAAGTAGTTCAGAAATCAGAGGGAAATAGCTTTGGAATAGAAGATCCAGGTTGGAACAAAACTGGAGCAGTTAGCATAACGTGGGCATCAAGAATGCCAGCTCTTTGCACAGTGGAAAATCTGTGTATAACTTTTGATTCCCCAAAACTTAACTACCGGTAGCCTACTCTTGACTGGAAGTCTTACCGATAACAGGTGATTAACATGTACAGTATTTTGTATGTGTATTATGTACTGTATTTTATGATAAAGCTAGAGAAAAGAAAATGTTAAGAAAATCATAAAAGAGAAAATAGATTTATAGTACTCTACTGTATTTATTGAAAAAAATCTGCTTATAAGTGGACCTGCACCGTTCAAACCCATAATGTTCAAAGGTCAGCTTTAATAACTATAGGGTTTTAAGAAGTCTTAAGATTTGAATTTTAATGAGCAATAGCGTCCTGCATTATTAATGAATTTGAGCTACAAACTTGGTTCTCAAATTTTTAGCAGTTGTAGTAAAGAAATAAGAATATTTCTATGAGTTGCGCTATCCTAAGAAAAACGTAAACTAATATTTCATAAAAAGTATTTCTTGTTCATTCTTTGATGACATCTTTGCATAAATGATATTGTTTGTGTGAGTAATGTTCTCCGAGAAATACAGTAAATACATGGGTCTTATGGTCATTTTCATAGTTTTCCAGACTGTGACCCAGAGAGAAAATGCCAAAGCAGCACTTAGTAATCATAATTTCTCTCTTTAAATGTGAAGCAGAATTCACATACCAAAAAGTACATAAAACTCTAAAAGTACAAAGTAATGAATTATTATTGACTGAATACCTGTGAAGCCACCATTCAGGTCAAGGAACAGAACATTCCAGCCCAGGTGAGGCCCTCCGTGTGCCTCTGCCAATCACAGCTTCTCCTCCTGACAGAGGAAACCAGGACCCTGACTTTTGTAACCATTTCCTTGCTTTTCTTTATGGTTTTACTCCTAAGTATTCATCCCTAAACACTGCAGTTTGGTGTTGTCTGCTGCAGTAGGTACTAATTTGTGCTTGTTTCTTTCATTTAACATTTTGTTTGTGAGATTCACTGCAGTTGGAATCTTCTCTCCATTTAAGGCAGCTTCTCAGTATCACCAAATCCAGTCAGTGGTCACATTTCCAGTTGTGTCTTAAAATTCACAAGTCATTTGCAGTTTGTTTGAATCAGAATCCAGGAAAGTTCGTACAGTGTCATTGGTTGATCTGTCTCTTAAGTCCTCTTAAACTATTGGTTCTTTTTTTTCTAGCCCCATTCTTTTTTTTTTTTAATGTTTTATTTATTTCTGAGAGAGAGAGAGAGCGTGAGCAGGGGAGGGTCTCACAAACCGTGAGATCATGACCTGAGCCGAAGTCGGACGCTTAACCGACTGAACCACCCAGGTGCCCCTAGCCCCATTCTTGATTGAAGAGGCCAGGGCTTTTATTTATTCTGTGGATTTCCCACTGTCTGCGTTTTGCTCCGTGTATCCCCACAGTGTGCCAGTGTCTCCTGTAAACGGGCAGATTTCTAGCTGTGTTGATAGGTACTCAGGCCATTGGCCACACACGACTGCTTAAATTTAAAACCACGAAATCCAGGCCTTTCGTCATATTAGCCACATTTCAGGTACTCAGTAGCCATGAATTAGTGCAGATAAAGCATATTTTCATCATCACAGATTTGATCTGGAGGCTTGATCAGACTTAAGTGTGACTTTTTGAGTAAAAGTGTTTCAGAGGTGGTGGTACATATTCTTCCTGTCTGCTTGTCTGCCTGCCACTCCAGCTGCTTTATGATTGTTGCCCTGATGGACTGTTTTACTAGAGGCCGCAGAATGATACCCTGCTTCTAAGCACTTCTTTGTTTCTTAAATGAAGTATTGGTGTATCACATGGTAAAGTACTTCAAGGCTCAGCTTGTACTTTTTCTGTCCCAAACCTGTACTTAGTCATTTCTACGGTAAGCGGTATTTTAAATTTTATGGCATATAAAATTTTTAAAGTTTTCTTGCCAAAACATGGAAATATAGTAGGCTTTTACATATTGATTTTGTATTCAGGAACTTCTTAAACCTGTTTATTTATTTATTTTTAAAGTTTACTTATTTATTTTGAGAGGGAGAGAGAGATGGTGCAAGTGGGAGAGGTGGAAAAGGAGACTGAGAATCCCAAGCAGGCTCCATGCTGTCAGTGCAGAGCTCAACGTGGGGATTGAACTCACTAACCATGAGATCATGACCTGAGCTGAGACTGAGTTGGACGCTTAATCCATTGAGCCACCTAGAGTCCCTTAAGCCTGTTATTAATTCTAGTAATTTTCTTTAGATATGATTAGATTTTCCATGGTAACAAAAATATCATCAATACCTTTTTTTTTTTCCTTAGTTAAAAAGAAATTCTAAAGTCCTGGTTTGCCAGGACTTGTTGTTTTGTTTTGCTTTGTTTTGTTTTAAAGTAAGCTATACGCCCAGTGTGGGGGCCGAAGTCAGCGATCCTAAGGTCAAGAGTTGGATGGTCCTCTGGCTAAGCCAGCCAGGTGCCCCTGCGAAGACTTCTTGTAACAAATGTTGATTACATTTCAGTTTTTGGTATGTTTTGTTCTTTTTCATATTTTTGTATTCCTTTCTTATGAAATCCAGTGCTTCTGTATGAAAATTTAAATCAGCATTTTAACAGATTTGTTCAGATTTTTTCTGTTGTTTGTAGTTCTTGTGTATATTTTTTTAATTTGCAAATATTCTTTATCTGCATCCATTGAGGTGATTATATATCTCTTTTTAATCTGTTACGGTAGTGAAAATCATTTTTTTAAAATATTAAATGAGGGGCGCCTGGGTGGCTCAGTTGGTTGGCTGTCCGACTTTGGCTCAGGTCATGATCTCACAGCTCGTGGGTTCGAGCCCCGCGTCAGGCTCTGTGCTGACAGCTCAGATCCTGGAGGCTGCTTCAGATTCTGTCTGACCCTCCCCTGCTCACACTGTTTCTCTCTGTCTCTCAGAAATAAATAAAACATTAAAAAATTTTTAAAGGTTAAGTGAACCTTGAATTTTGAATTTCTGGGATAAACTCCAACTCAGTCCTCCCCCCCCCCCCCCCACCGTGCAAAAAGGTGATTTTCTTAAAGCATAGGAATAGGATCCATGGGCAGGAAATGCTGTCTCGGGACTGTGAGGAGAGACTGATTATATACCCAGGAGTAACTCCAACCTAGTCTTAAATTTTTTTTAACTTTGTTTATATATTTTGAGAGAGAGAGAGTGAGCAGAGTGGGGCAGAGAGAATCCCAAGCAGGCTCCACTCTCACAACTGTGAGATCATAACCTGAGTCAAAATGAAGAGCTGGACGCTCAACCGACTAAGCCACCCAGGCACCCCTCCAGTTCAGTGTTGATATATTTTCTTCTTTATATATTGCTCTGTATAGTTTGGTAGCATGTCATTTAGGATTTTGACATCAATATTCATGTGTAAGTTGGCCTTCGCTTTTCCTTTCTTGCAATATCCTTACGGAGTTTTGTTCTCAAGGTTATGCTTGTATCAAGTGTAGGGTTGTGTTCTTGCTTCCATGTTTTGTAATTGTTTAGTAAAACAGGAATTATTTCTTCATTAAATGTCTATAGAATTAGCTGGTAAAGCCATTTTTGTGTGTGTGTGTGTGTGAGAAGATTTTTAACTCAGAAAAACCAATATTACCCACGTGACTAATGCACGATGGTATAAAGTCTCTAATGGGCTAATTATCCATTTGAAAGAGCAAGATAAAACAGTGGATTTTAATGTAACAGTATGAGAAGTTCATTAATTGATAAAGTTGGAGGTTGTACACTGCAGCTTATCTTTTTAAAAAACTTTTTTTTAACATTCATTTTTGAGAGACAGAGTGCAAGCAGGGGAGGGGCAGAGGGGGAGGGAGACACAGAATTCCAGGCAGGCTCCGTATTGTGAGCTGTCAGCACAGAGCCCGACGCAGGGCTTGAACGCATGAACCGTGAGATCATGACCTGAGCCAAAGTCAGACCCTTACTGAGCCTTCCAGGTGCACCAAAACTAAATTAAATTTTTAAGAAAAGTTAAAAAGTAGGTAGGGGCACCTAACTGGCTCAGGTATTGATGTCGGGGTTAGGAGTTCAAGTCCCAGATTGGACATAGAGCTTACTTAAAAAAAATTAAAAGGCAAAAATAAATAAAAATAAAAAGTAGGTAGAATATTTTAGTATATTTTATCAAAGAAGACAATAGGAATGGGTACTAATAAGCACATGAAACAATGACCAACATCATTAGTTATGAAGGAAATGCAAATTAAAACCACAATGAGACACCACTTCACATTTACCATAATGACAGTCGTCAAAAAGATAGATGATAAGTATTGGAAAAGATGTGGAGAAACTGGAACTAAACACTGCTAGAAATACAATGTGGTCTGATATGATGACACTGTGACAGTTTCTTAAAAAGTTAAACATAATTGTGCCATATAACCCAGCAATTACACTCTTAGGTATATACTCAAGAGAAATGAAAACGTATGTTCATATGAAACTTGTCCATGGCTGCTCCTGTGAGCAGCACCTATAACCACTGTGAAGTGTAAATAATCCATATGCCCATCAAGTGGTAAAGAGACAAAAAGAGGTACATCCATTTAATGGAATACTAGTCTACAATAAAAATAATGAATTTCTTTTTTTTTTTTTTTTTAAAGTTTTATTTATTTCTAGGAGAGAGAGAGAGACAGCGTGAGCAGGGGAGGGTCAGAGAGAGAGGGAGTCACAGACTGAAACAGGCTCCAGGCTCTGAGCTGGCAGTCAGCACAGAGCCCGACGCGGGGCTCGAACCCACGAACCGCGAGGTCATGACCTAAGCGAAAGTCGGACGCTTAACCGACTAAGCCACCCAGGCGCCCCTAAAAATAATGAATTTCTAATATATCCTAAAATGTTGATGGCCTTCAAAAACCTATGCTAATGCAAAGAAGCTAGACACAAAAGAGTGCACATTATATAAATCCATTGATAGGAAATGTCCAAATGGAAACTGTATATAAGAGGAAGCAAATTGGTGGTTTCCTTAGCTGTGGATAGAAATAGGAATTGACTGCAAAATGACAAGATTCTTCTGTGCTGAAGCAAACCCTCTAAAACGGGACTGTAATGACAGTAATGGAATATAAAATTACCAAAAAATCACTCAAGTGTATAGTTAAATTAGATAGATCCTACTGAGATCATAGTTCAAAAAAGCTATTAAAAAAGAATGAAATTAGAAAATTTATGCAAGTATATTTGACAACTTAGATGAAACAGATATTCAGACAGTGCACTCAGAAATTGCACAATATGAAATAAAGATCTGAATTCATTGTGTAAATGTTAAGGAGATTGACCCCCCCACTCCCCAATTTAAAACCTTCCTGACGTGGGGCTTGAACCCACAAACATCAAGATCATGACCTGAGCTGAAGTCGGATGCTCCAAAGTTGGGAGAGTCACCCAGGCACTATGGATGGAAGTCCATGTTGACCTAAATCCAGAAACCTTTCTAAAACCTAGATTTGGTTGTATCACTCCCATCCCACGAAATCATGGCTAACTGTTGGGAACGAGAAAGTGTCTATCTCTGTTAACCACAGTCTGCCCCGCCTCCCATGTGGCCTCTTAATATAATCACTGCTTTGCACCCCATGATCGTGTCTTACTGAACTGTTTGTACGTCCTCGAGTCTCCTGGTTTTCGGGTTTCATTGGAGCTGTTGGCTCCCAGAATGTGTTTGCACCCCCTTTTTTGTGGAAAGCACAGCTAATTTCTCAAAACTCATCTCAGACTTAACCTCTTGTAAAAAGCCTGAAATTGAAGCTGTCCTTGCTTTGACCCACATGGTGCCTCAGCTACTACAGCAGCTGATTTTATGAATAGGTGTATATATTTGTAGCCCCTACAAGACTGCGCAGTTTTTTAGGGTATTGCTTTATTATCTTTTTTTTGGTACCACTTCTCTTTGATTTTTTTTTTTTTTTTTTTTTTTTGGGAGTGAGCGAAAGAGAGCATGTGCATGACCGGAAGGGGGACCGAGGGAGAGAGACTCTGTGCTCAGCATGGAGTCTGACATGGGGCTTGATCTCACTACCCTAGGATCATGACTTGAGCTGAAATTGAGAGTCAGACCCTCAACTAACTGAGCCACTCACACGTCCCCCCTCCACCCCCCTGTTGAGATTTAAACTCTCCAATTCCAGTTCTCATGTACTGTATATAAGGAAGGATGGAAGAGTGCATAATGGTGTTTTATTGCAGAGATACAGTGCAAAGTGACCAAGTCATTTTCCGTAACTGGCTGTGATGAGAAATGTGCTCACTTTCCAGTTCTTTCATGTCTCACAGAGTGATAAATGCTTCAGATTCACCAGGATTATGCTCTTACAGGAGGCATTCTCATTTGAGGATTTATCTGTGGATTTCACCCAGAAGGAATGGCAACTCCTGGACCCCAGCCAGAAGGACTTGTACAAGGATGTCATGCTGGAGAACTATAGCAGCCTAGTGTCACTGGGTAAGAAGAACTTCCTGGAGGGCCTCAGACTTTGCCCAGTACCTTACTTGTTTAGTTGCTGAGAGCTGTGGGGGTTCTAAAA